CAGAAATAATCACTCAGGTGTCCGTCCATCCATCCATCCATCCATCCATCCATCCATCCATCCATCCATCCATCCATCCATCAGTTCATTCATCTATTTGAATTCTATTCTATTCTATTAATATAATTCTAACATCTATTCATTTTTTACCTCCTTCTTCCTTTTCGGGTCGCATGGGTCACTGGTGCCCATGTCCAACAGTCACTGTGTGAGAGGCGGGGGACACTTGAACATGTTGCATGTCCACCATTTGAATAACTTGCACCAAAAACATTAAGGCTTACTTGCCATGTTCACTTCCAGTCCAGGAAAACACTCATCTCAAAAATGACAAATATTCACTCTTCAAACCCCTTAATGAGGGACATCGACGTAGTGCTTGTTCTTTTATTTCTGCTACTTACTATGATGTATTTACATTTTTGATAACTGGACTTTTGATTGGTGATGTTTGTGTGTTGCTGCTATTCTTGGCCATTTCTGTCTAAGAGTAAAAAAAAAAATCTCAACGGGATCCACCTGGTTAAATAAAATTTTAAATAAAAATAAATGCATCTCTGGTATTATTAAAATATTACACAAGAGGCATCATCCAACCTGTAGCAGCTGCAGCAGTTTTATAATAAAGAATGGACAAAGAGTCTAGATGGACCAAGGTCAAGAAGACAAACCCAAAGAGACAATCTGCAGTTAATCCATGCAAAATGTGGCTCTGCACAGCACTGATTGGAGGGGTGAATAGTTGTGCATCCACCACTTTTCAGACATTTTTCAGAAATATTTCAAACAATTTAACTTTATAAATATAGTATTTTGAGTAGGGTAATTTGAATCAAAAATAAATTGTGTTTAAACTCAAAGCTACAGTGCATAAAAATAAAAAAATAATTTAGCAAGTGGTAAATACTTTTGCTGTACTTTCAGATTTTACAGCACAAGAAAAAAAAAATCTACATTGAACAAATCAAATGGCTTTTGTTGCTTTTGCCTTATTTGGAATTTCTCCAACTTTTACCATGCCACCTACCATTTATGTAGCTTTCAAATACATTCCTTTTTATGAGGTGACATTAATTAATCTGTGAAGGTGAAGAGGGAGCAGAGCTGGAAGACAAAGCTCTCTGTTTACCAATCAGTCTACGTTCCTACCCTCACCTATGGTAAGGATGTTCTCTGGGCACCTCCCTAGGGAGGTGCTTCAGGCATGAATGACTGGGAGAAGACCCAGCACACACTGGAGAGACTACGTCTCTTGATTGGTCTTGGAACACCTTGGAATCATCACAGAAGAGCTGGAAGAGGTGGCGGTGAAAAGAGATGTCTGGGCCTCCCTGCTCATGCTGCTTCAGTATAACCAGAAGATAATGGATAGATGGACGGATGGATAGATGGATGGATAGATGGATGGATAGATGGATGGATGGACGGATGGATGGATGGATGGACGGATGGACAGATGGATGGATGGACAGACGGACGGATGGATGGATGGACGGACGGATGGCTGGATGGATGGATGGATTGATTGACAGATGGATGAATGGATGGATGATAGATGGATGGATAGATGGATGGATGGATGGATGGATGGATAGATAATGGATG